CCCCCCCCCCCCCCCCCCCCCCCCCCCCCCCCCCCCCCCAAAGGATGTGCACATGCGCGTGCATGCCTCCCGAGGCCGAGAAACTGAACGACCTGTAGTCAGGCCGCCTGCATTAAAAGGAAAGACAGAAGAGAGCCAGGCCCGGGGTGAGAAGAGCAAACGGCAAAACTTAATGACTTTAATATGAAAGAATTTGCCACTAATTAAGCACAAACACTCCACTAATGCAGGGAACACATGTTGTGGATTTCACTTAAGCAGGAACCAAATGAGGTGCAAACCTTCCGAAATGATAGCGGTTTACCAGCCGGAGGAAGACGCTGCCTGACCTCGTTTCTGCTCTCAGAAACACACGCCCTGGTCTCCGCAGCCTCCCCGCCTCCCTACCCAAGGCTTCCAGCCACACTTCCACTGTCTGCGTCTCTCCTGATCTGTCCTCTGAGAACGTGCCATTCTGTAACCCATGTTCTGACAGCACGGGGCAGTCAGCTCCGAGGCTCCCCGCGGCCTCCAGTCCTCTCCACCTGTCTTCCCCAAACACACACCTCACACTCCTCCTCCTACAGAGCTGACGGCAGGCTCTCCACACCGGAAGGCCTGCACCCCTGCTCTGATCCACCTCTGGGCCCTCTGTCCCAGGACGCAGGATACTTCCCCTCCAGAGAGCCCCCCCCCCCCCCCACCCTCCAGCCCTGGCTGGCGTGGGGCTGCCCCGCACATCCCTCACTCACACCAGCACCCCTGCCCGAGCTCCATGCTCTCTCCTCTGGGACAGTCCTTTTGCCCCGTAGGGAACATTTGGCACCTTCTAGAGACACTTTTGGTTGTCACAATGGAGGATGGGTAGGCAGAGGCCGGCGGTGGCACCAAACACCCTTAGCCCACAGGTCAGCCCTGCAACAGAGAATCATCAGGCCCCAAACGTCAACAGTGCGGAGGTCGAGGACCTCTGCTCGGGGGCAGTGGCCTCGCCATAGCAAGGACTTGCGCAAGATCTCGCGGCGGTTAGCAGAACCAGAATGGAAGCCAGTCTACCTGATTTCTGGGCAGCTTCTTCCCCTGAGACTGTAATAACAATAACATGGCCCTTTATGCAGCATGACTACCTGCCGAGCGCCGCACTGAGAGCGTGTATGAATTATCTCACTTAATCGTCACATCAACCCTAGGCAACGGCACTGTTAATCGTTCCCACTTCTTGCAGGGCTGGGCACTGGGGTGGTCAGACAGGTCCCTCCTGGCAAGAGGCACATCTAGAGATTTCCACTTCCAAACAGGTGGTGAACATCGGCACAGAACCCGCAGGACTGAGACAATGCATATGTTGATACGGAGATTTTAAGAGGTTCTTCTGGGGAGGCCCAGGGAATTCTCCCTCTGTTTTCAGGCAGCCCCCAGCCTCTCCCACCCCCACACTAGCCTTCTGAAGAGGCTGCTGCCTACGCTCCCCAAAATATGGCATTAAAGACGCACCCTTGCTGAGGGGAGCCCTGGCTGCCGTGGGCGTCTGTTGTGAGACGTGTCGTCTGCGCAGGTGGGGTGGACGAGGTTGGCGTGGGCTGCGGAGATGGGACCTGTGGAAACCCCAGACTTAGAGCCAGGCCTTCGAGGCCTCAAAAGGCCAGGCCAGGAGAAACCCAGGCCGTGTGTTGGGAAGGGAATGGCACTGGGGGGGGGGGGGCGCGGCGGGGGGCGGGTGGTGTAGGCCTCGCAGGGCGAAGACCTTGGGAGCAGGGCCTCCGGCTGCAGCTTGCTTGGGTGAGAAGAATATTTTTCACCTCTGGTCTAGAGTGAGGAAGGAAGTGGGGCTGGGTGCTAGGAAGTGGGACAGAGGAGAGAGGGAAGGAACCAAGAAGTGACAACTGGGAAGCCAGCAGAGGATGCGATGCCGTGGGGAGGCAAGAGGTTGGGCAGACCTCTACCTTTTGGGGTGCAGCTTCCCGGCTCCAGTCAGGGAGAAGATTCCGGCCCTGACCTGCTGGCCCTCGGTGCAGACGGGAGGCCTCACCTCCCAGCTCTTTCCTCCTGCCCTACCTGCCGAGCCTGGTCTGGAGCCCCATCTGGCTTGCAGCCTTCACCAGCTGCTCGGGGCCCCCTTACCCTATTGTATGCCAGGCACTGGCTGAAGCCCCGGCCTTTGCCCTCAGCAGGGGAGATGCTGTGATGGATGTGTGCGCAGGTACGGGGCCCTCGGGCTGCTGGACTACCTCACTCGGGGACAGGGGGTGTGCCCCAGGAAGCCACCTCCTCAAAATCAAGGCTCAGCTCATTGAGTACGGATGACGAGGACTGAGGCAGGGAAATGGGGTATGTGCTTTCAGCAGAGGGAGTAACAGGGCAGGGAATGGATGGTATTGTTCCATATGGCAGGAGAGAGAGGCTGCAGGCTCTGATGCCCAAGATGAGGTCCAGAGCCCAAAAGGGCTTTGGACTTGATCCCGGGGGCGGCAGGAAACCATGGAAGGATTTTAAACAGAAAAGGATTCTGGACTTAGAAAGTGGCCAGCGGGTCACCTGGGTGGCTCAGTTGGTTAAGCATCCAGCTCTTTCTGGGTTTCTGCTCAGGTCATGATCTCACGGTTTGTGGCTTCAAGCCCCGCATCGGGCTCCGTGCTGGCAACACAGAGCCCGCTCGGGATTCTCTCTCTCTCTCTCTCTCTCTCTCTGCCCCTCCCCTGCCCAAGCTGTCTCTCACAGAAATAAATAAAAACATTAAAATTAAAAAAGTGGCCAATGGGTTAGGGGAAGGCCTGGAGGCAGTTACGTAGGCTTGGTGTCATGCTGCAGTGGCCGGGTAAGCCTGCACCGGGGCAGGTCTTGGGAAGAAGGAGGGGACAAGGCAGGAGGAGCGAGGTGGTGGGTGCTAAGGGGCAAAGGGAAGGGCCTGGGATTTGCGTAGCTGGGCTGCAGTCGTGGCCCAGGAGTGTTGAGAAAATAAGGAAGTGAGACTCTGCTGGAGGTGGGGGGCAGGGAAGGGGCTGCGCTGGCGGGAGGGGGCTCAGGGGGAGTCTGGATTGGGGCCAGTGGGGATGGAGAACAAAGATGAATTCCCGCTGTGCTTGCGTGGACGCGGGAGAACCCTGTACGTGTAGCCTGGGTTTGCCTGGCATCCCGGTCGATCTGGGAGGCCTTCCCGGAGGAGCTGGGCAGTTTACAGAGGTGGAGCAGCCACTTGGTAGAAACAGTCCAGAGTCTGGTCCAGGGAAGGTGCAGAGGTAGGGCAGAGAGAGGGCCAGACAGGTTATGTCCAAAGTGTAGTCTTCCGGGGTCATGGGGTGCCAACACTCTCATTTTAAAGAAAGGGACACTGAGGCCAGGGAGGGGAACTGGCCTACCTACCTAAGGCCATCTAGAAAACCGTAACCAACTAGTGGGGACCAGAGACTTCTCTCCTGGTCTCCGGTATGTACCCTTCCTCCCCACCGCCTGGCCAGAGGGAGTGTGACAGGTAAAGGGGGAATGGTACAGAGGGGACCAAAAGGTGGAACCAGAAGGCTAGAGATGGAGAGGGGCAGAGCCGAGAGGTGCTGCTCAGGACTGGCCTTGCCCTGGGCCTTGGGGAGGGGGTAGCCAATGTGAAACCGGCCTGTCGGAGAGATCCAGATGTCCCTGGCCACTTGCTCCTCGGTGGGAAAAGATTCATCCCTGTCCCCCAACCTGTCCTGCTAGGTTTCAGAGAGACGGGACTTGCCAGAGCAGCCCCAAGCGCCGTCACCACAACCCCGGGGCTTCCCGGCTTTCATGCTGCTGGGGATTGGGCTGGCCCAGCCCGTCTGGAAGATCCTGGGCTCCTTCTCCTGCTTTTCCCAGGCTGCCGCGCCCCCTCCTCTCCCACGCACTGCACTCACCCGCCCAAGGCTCCGGCGCCAGCCCCACAGCCCATCATTAACCAGCTCTGTGTCAGGGAGTCGGGGGTTAGGGTGAGGGGGGGCATCAGCCAAGAAGAAGAAAACATCGGCAATTTCTGTGACCCCAAATGAAGGGGCGGAGGCGCCTGGGTTTGGACAGTAGCAATTAGCCCTGACTGTGGGATCATGGGATGTTATCACCTCTGCTGGCAAGGTGGATGCAGCGGGGACTCAAGGCCCCAGGACACCTGGAGCCATCCCAGCAGGCATTGCTCCCAGAGAGGGTCCCCCAGGGCCCACACCCACCAGGCAGAGCGCCTGCGTGCAGGAGGCAGGGGCACTGAGCCCCAGCGAGGGATGGCTAGGGGTGTGGGGACAAGGACCGGGTCAGTTGATGCTTCTGTGCCCTCTGACCTGGGGACACCCTGGACCCCGTCCCGGGCATGGCGGGGGAGTCCGAGGGTAGAGATGCAGCGTGGGCCCTAGGGGGCTCCTGAATAATGAAGAGACATAGATACGGGACAGGACAAGTTCAGAGGACCTCAGTGAGAAGCCTGCTCGTGTGGGTCCTTGGGGGCAGAGCGATTGGGTCTGGGCAACACTGACTGGCCGAACCTTGCCCAGAGGAGGGGGCCCCAGAAAGGGGATTCCCTCCTGGTCACACCATCTCCTTGCCAGCCTCTCCCCCGGGTGGATCAGCCTTGGCATCCGAAAGTGAGGAGCTGGCCAGCCTGGGAGTTGACATTTGGGGAAGTAGCTGCACTGGGAGGAGGGGCCCTGTAGCCTTCAGGTCCCTGTGCTGACTCAGCAGGGTTTCGGCTGGAGGCCCTCCCCTCCCCCCCTCCCCCATAGGTGAGTCATCCCCACTTACCACTTAGCTGGTTTCTGACCGGATGGTCCTCTTCCTTTCTGCCAGTTCTGGGGTGGTGGGAGGGAGGGGGATCCCTGGGAAGCTCTAGAGATGGACCCCAAAGGATTCTGGTCTCAGAGAGGCCCCCGGTGAGGTCCCCAGCGCTCCCCCCCCCAGGGTGTCCCCAGTTGCCTCCAGGCCAGGTCTGCCACTGCTGACCGCCCAACTGAGGGCACCCCGGCGGGGATGGGGGACACAAAAAGAGGTGGTCTGTGCCAGAAATCCCAGAACCCCTCCCCCTTTGCCTGTGTCCTTCCCCCCCCCCCCCCCCCGCCACTTTCACCCACATGGGCCCAGTCCCAGCCTGCCTGGCCAGGGCGAGAAGGGTCTGAAGTTTCAAAGGGCGGGAAGAGAAACTGCTTGAGGTGGGTACGGGGAGCAGAGTGCCCCCCCCATTCTGGGCCACACCCCGCTGCGTGGGAACCCATGGCCCCAGCCTCAGATTAGCTCCATGGCGGGCAGGGCAGGCGGGCAGGGCCCTGGGGAGCAGGTTTGTCGGCCACAACTGAGGAGCCTTTGTGTTTTGTTGCTGAGCTCGGGCTTTTGCACGTCTGTGACGTCTCGGGGGGCCGGCCCGACGCCTGCCTTGTTGGCTCAGCACTTCTGGGCAGCCACGAAGGCAGCCCGAACCGCCCAACCGGAGCTCCAATGGGGAAACTGAGGCACTGGCACACAGGCCCCAGGGGCCTGAGTCCCAGACCGTGGAGCCCGTAGGGTGGTCAGGGAGAATACAGGCAGTGCTTGAGGTCAAAAAGAAAAACATTCCTTGATATCCCTAGGATGCAAGGACCTCTCTACTGAGGGCAGAGGTTCCCATGGATCTCTCTACCTTTCACTCCCCACCTCTCTGGCTCCTCCCTCCTCTGTACATAGCCTCCTGGAGGTGCCCCCACCTGGCTTCCACTTTGCTTTACCCCTGGCCCCCAACCAAGCCCAGTGCAGGGCAGCCTGCGGGCACTGTGGCCACGATAATGTAACTGGTATTCCTGCCACTTATCAAAAGGAGCAAGAGAGGCTCTGAGCTTTATTCCAGGAGGGTCACTGCCCAGAGGGAGGGAGGCCCTGGGGGGTTAGGTTGAGAACGTGAGTCCCTTATAAAAAGGCAGGGTGGGAAGCGCACTGGGTTGGATTTGCCCTTCCATGTCGCCAAGCAAGTGACCCAGCCCCTCGTGGACTCTGAACTCCTCCTTTGTAAAACCATGGATCACGTGTTCCACTGAGGCCCAGTATGGTACCATTTTAGTGGTCCTGGTTTCCACATCTGGGACAGCCCCTGCCTCTCATGTAAGAGGGGGCCTGTGAGGAAGGAGAGACGATGCCTTGCGTGGACCACCCTAACTGCCCGAGGAACCACAGAAAGTTAGCAGGGTAGTCTCCAGGCCCTAGACCCTGCCAGGGAGCCGCGATGTGGCCAACAAAACTCGAGGTCTCGCCAGTGCCTTCCCTCTCACACAGGGAGTCGCGATCTGTTGGGAGCCGGGGGACACACAATAAGAAACACGCTAGACGTGCACGCCAGGAAACAGAAAATAAAGGGATACAGACGATGACGAAGGTGGTGGTGAGGATGATAATGATGATGATGATGGCAGCCAGCACTTACTGACCGTCTCGTTCTGTGCTAAGTGCCGCTCTCTAGCTTCCCGTGTGGTCATTTGATCCTTAGGACCACTGCATGGGATAGGTGGTGTTGTAATCCCCGTTTCACAGACGAGAAATCTCAGTGCAAACTGAGGCACAGAGCGGTTGAGTCATTGGCCCAACGTTTCTCGGCTCGTAAGTGACAGAGGGAGTCTGCAAAGCCACAAAGCTGGCTCTTCGCAAGCCCATGCATACTGGGGCGGGGGGGGGGGGGCGGGGGGCGCCCCCGGGCAGGGGGGAGGAGCTCGGGCAGCGAGCTCAACTTCCAGGTCATCTGGGCCCTAGGGGTTGGGACCTTGGACCCAACTTGGACCAGCCTGCCCTCCTGCTTTTGCCCCTTGGCCCCGGGCCTTCCAGACGAGGCCTATGGTTCTACCTCTTCCTGCACAGAGGAGGGGCCTCCTCCTGGGTTCCTGCCCTGATCCAGCCCTTTCTCTGCCTTTTCAGTGGGGATCCCCACTCTCCCATTCATTGCCGCACCCAGACCCTGGAGGTCTGCCCCCTTTCTCTGAAAGTTTCCCAACCTGACCAGTCTAAAGAATGAGGGACATTCTCCCCAACCCTGTACCCTCGGTCCAAGACTGGCAGCCCCGGGGAACCTGGGTGGCTCAGCCGGTTGAGCGTCCGACTCTTGATTTCGGCTCAGGTCATGATCTGCCGGTTTGTGAGTTCGAGCCCCTAGTTAGACTCTGAGCTGACAGCGTGGAGATCCTCTCTCTCCCTCTCTGTCTGTCCCTCCCCCATTCGTGCTTGTGCTTACACACGCGTAAGCACTCTCTCTCTCTCTCTTTCTCTCTCATTAAAAAAAAAAAAAAAAAAAAAGAAAAAAACGGGAAGCCCCAAGCCAGAAGCAAGAGCTCTGGGTCCCTTAGCCCGGAGTGGGGTGGAGGGCTAAGGGAGGGTCTTCAGACCTTGCCGGTGGCCCCAGCGCCTCCCACTTCCTCTGGGGTCAGGGAGTGGCCCCAAACCCTATGCTCCAAAAGCTCCCTCTTGCCCACTAGGCTGTGGATGGAGAGGTGAACACCAGAATAAGTCTGCCTGCACCTTAGAGGTCCTCTCCCACTCTGGCCTGCCCACTCTTCACTAGCGCAAAAGGGGCAAGGGCCAGGAGAACCCACTTTGTGCGCAGTGGGTGGACACCCCAGGCACTCTCCTTACTGCTCCCTGTGGGGTTGCTTCTGGGAGAGCCACACTGGAGAGGAGAGAGGGGCCTTAACCCCAAAACAGACATTAGGGTGGGGAAGGCCTCCTTGGCCTGGTGAGGCACCGATGCATGAGACGGGGCCGCTAGGGTGCCCGAGCCCCTGGCAGCGGCCGCCCCGCCCCCACGCCCAGGCCACTATCAGCGATCTTCACTCCTGGCATTCACAGCTCTGAAGGGTGAGGTCACTGCTGAAGATGCAGCAAATGAATGGCAGTGTGTGTGCCGGCCGCTGAAGCCTGCCTGTCCCCACACCTGCGGGGAGCGGGGGGTGGGGAGGCGGAGGGGGTCGCCGCGGCAGGCTTGGTGGGCTATGTCCGGCTATAGGCTCCCCCATGCCCTGGCACCAATCCCAAGATGGTTCCTGGTGCCCACACGCCAACCCCCCCCCCCACCACACACACACACACACACACACACACACACACACACACACACAAAACCTATGGCCCAAGCCCTCCCAACTGGCTTTTCCTGTTTCTGGCTTTGTGTGGTGAAAGTTCCCCAATTATACCCACATTATCTCAGCTGCTGGGCAACCTCCAGCAGGTTGGTGAGTGGAGGCGGGGGGGGGGAGCACCCACCCCCCCACTTATCCTCCTGGGAGGGCCTGGGGCTTAGCCGCTTGCCAGCTGGCCAGTCAGCAGGAGCACTGGGCTGTCTGGCCCGCTGACCTCACCATGGGACTCTATCTGGGGTGGGGCCTCAGCAAGGCTGGGCTGCGGTTCAGGGGATCAGACTCAGGCCCAGAAGGGACCACTAAGACTGGGGAGTCCAGCCCGCTCTCTTATAGAGGAGGAAGATAGGGTTCGGGAGGGGGAAGTGACCGGCCAAGGTCTCAGCTCAAAATAGGGCTGAGCAGAACCCAACCCTCCTGCCTCCCTGGTGGGTGCTTCCTCCTGTACTCCCACCAGCCCACGGTGCTCTCTGCCCAAGGACATGTCAGAACCCCACACACCGGCCAGGGGGACAACTGGAGGGGTAGGGGTGGGGGCACTCCCAGGTGGGCCTTGAAGGGCTGCATGGATGTGAATAGGCATAAAGAAGGAGGGAGCACTGGGGAAGTTTTCAGGGCATGACAAGGGGCCAAAGATCTATTTATTCAGCAGATTGTTGAGTATCTGCTGTATGGTACACACAGGACTCCGCAGTGACCCTGGGGACACAGCCTGTGCCCTCCTTAGGGGAGGGATGGGGGGGGGGACAGCCTTCACGTATCATGGGCTTCCAAGCCCTCAGAGGAGTGTGCCCTGCTTTTGTGCCTCCACCATGCAGAGGCAAAGGTGAGCCCCGAATTTCCACTCCCCTGGGGAGCCACTGAGGCCATCCCCCTGCCTCTAGGTCAGTGCAGGACCTGGCATTGATATTATCGATGGTGCTCAATAAACTGAGTAAAGTAAGGATACGACAATATGAAGGGTACAGATGCGTGGCCAATAACAGAGCTCAAGAAAGAGCCTGGGCCAGAGAGACCCGCTGGAGGGTCTCTGCCCTGCGTTCAGGGTCAGGGAAAAGCTCAAACAAGCCATTCTAGTGAAACAAAGCAATCAGTAAGGAGCCTGGGGGGAATTTATTCATTCATCCAACGCCACTGATCACTCCCTCCTTCTTGCAAATCTCTATTCCCATGGGTTCCGTTGCAGTCTGCCTGGCCAGAGCTATCTACTGAGTACCTACTGTGTGCCAGATGCTGGGCTGGGCACTGGGGCTGGGGCGACTGGGAAAGACACAGACCCTGTGCTGGCGGAGAAGTCACAGGCGTGAACAACCACATCCGGAGGCAGAAAAGATCTGTGATAGAAGTGGCTGGACTCACACGTGCAGGGAAGATCTGGGAAGCTTCCCAAAGGAGGTGGCCTGAGTGGGAGATCCATAGGGGAAGGAGGGGGAAGAGCCTTCTAGGGCTTTCTAGGGAACTGCACGAGCAAGAGTCTAGGAGTGATAGGAGGAGGGAGAGAGAGAGGAAGGGAACATGGAAACATGGCATGTTCTGAGGAGCGGCCCGGGCCCCGTGAGAGGGACGGAGCCAGCGCACCCCAGGGCACGGGCACTCCGCCTTGAGGGAGAAGACCATGGCGGGGAGCACAATGGTGGCCACCGTGAGCCCGCATGGTCAGCGCCTCCTGCCTCCTGACACTTTCTCGTTAGTCTCATTTGGTTCTCCCAGCAGCCCCGTGAGGTAGAGGACTGGATTCTATGCCCCATTTTCCAGAAGGGAACTGAGGCCCAGGAAGGTGAGGCAGTTGATGGCTCCTAGGGGAAGCAGTGCATTCGACTCCCGCCCCTTATTAAAAATAAGGGTGCAGGTATATATTTACTGCCCAATGGAGCACTATGGGTAATGCACCGCTAGACGAAAAGGCAGCTATGGAACAATACGTACAGTATCATTCTGATTTCGTCTTAAAAAAAAGATGGTTATGCAGAGAAACCTGGAGATCGAGAAATTAATATAGCGAGAAAAAAATAAAAGAAGGGATTTCCTACAAGACGATCAGTGATCCTTCTGAGTGGTGGGGATCACGGTCTTTTTCAGCATCCTCCAGAGTGCTTTAGTAACAAGCAATTATTTATTCCTATGATCAGAATCAAGAGTAACAAGAGGTAGAAAGAAAAGAGCAGCGCACAGGGAGTCGGGGGCGGGGGGTGCGGGCGGCTGTGCCTGTCACTGACCAGTCCCGCCGGCTCCTTTGACCAGGCGCCCACGCCCAGGTGGTCCAGGTGAACGACTCCATGTACGGTTTCATCGGCACGGACGTGGTCCTGCACTGCAGCTTCGCCAACCCGCTGCCCGGCGTGAAGATCACCCAGGTCACGTGGCAGAAGGCCACCAACGGCTCCAAGCAGAATGTGGCCATCTACAACCCCGCCATGGGCGTCTCCGTGCTGGCTCCCTACCGTGAGCGCGTAGAATTCCTGCGGCCCTCTTTCACCGACGGCACCATCCGCCTCTCCCGCCTTGAGCTGGAGGACGAGGGCGTCTACATCTGCGAGTTCGCCACCTTCCCTGCCGGCAATCGAGAGAGCCAGCTCAACCTCACTGTAATGGGTAAGCTGGCCTCACCCCCCCCCTCCCTGCTCGTGCAGAGGCCCGTGGCCTGGGGCTTGGCCACCCTCATCGTGTGCCTCGGTGGCCCCAGACAGTCTCCTTGGTTGGCATGCTCCCAAAGCTTCCGGTCCCTTCCGGCCAGGCTGTTCCACAGCTCACTCGGGATTGGGTGCAAGGCCTTAGCTGTGCACAGAGCTGAGGGTCACGATTCGGGTTGGAAGCCCCACCACAGGGTACTCTGTGGGTGACCGGGAAGCAGGCAGAAGCTTCCGACACCACGGTAAGGAAAAGGGCCACGTGAGCCGCCAGCCTTGAGCACGCCAAGACTCCAGGAAAGCCTCCGCTTGACCAAAGGGGGTGCCAGGTAGGGCAGGAAGGACACAGGTTAGACATGAAGCAGTCCCCATGAGAAGGGCTGGGAGGGGCTTTGGGCACAGCTCAGAGGCAGGGATGGCCAGGGTGACCTCCTGGGCCAGCACACTTTGGATGAAGCCGTAGCGCTAGCCCCACGGCTCCCTCTGCTTCCCCGCAGCCAAACCCACCAACTGGGTAGAGGGCACCCAGACGGTGCTTCGAGCCAAGAAGGGGCAGGATGACAAGGTCCTGGTGGCCACCTGTACCTCGGCCAACGGGAAGCCTCCCAGCGTGGTGTCCTGGGAAACGCGCCTGAAGGGCGAGGCGGAGTACCAAGAGATCCGGAACCCCAACGGCACGGTGACCGTCATTAGCCGCTACCGCCTGGTGCCCAGCCGGGAAGCCCACCAGCAGACCCTGGCCTGCATCGTCAACTACCACATGGACCGCTTCCGGGAAAGCCTCACCCTCAACGTGCAGTGTGAGCAGGGCGCGGCGCAGGCGGGTTTCGGGGTGGGGGGTGCTGCTGTCCCCTCCTACCGCCCCACTCTTGCCAGCCCTGCCTCCTCCTTTTCTCCCATCTCTCTTCCTTTGCTTCCTTTGCCCCCTTTCTGCTCCTGCCCGCCCCCCAGCCGGCCCCACCCTTTCTCTTGAGAGGGGTGCGTTGTCCTCCCCCCTCTCTTTTCCCCATGTCCTTCCCGTGCCCATCTGTCCTCCTCCTTCCTCCATTCCCTTGCTGCTTCTGCTCCGAGGGTCCTCCCCCCTCCCTCCCCGTCTTCCAGCTCTTTCCATGTCACTGCCCCTTCCACCCCTGCCCCATCTGAGGCTCACTCCCTCGCCCCAAGCCCTGCTCTCCTGACCTCACCCTTCTCAAACATCGTCCCTTGCCCCACAGACGAGCCCGAGGTGACCATCGAGGGGTTTGATGGGAACTGGTACCTGCAGCGGACGGATGTGAAGCTCACGTGCAAAGCCGATGCTAACCCCCCTGCCACCGACTACCACTGGACCACGTAAGTGCTCTGGGGCTGGCTGGTCGCCTTGCAGGGTGCCTAGCTGGTCACAGGGAGGCACCCCACCCCACCTCCAGGAGCATTACGTGGGGAGAAAGTTAGGGTCTTGGTTCAGGATTCTCAGTGAGAAGGGGAGGGGCTGCGAGAGACCCCAGCCACAACAGCATCAGGGTCAGTGGGACAAACCATTCTGCCCGAGGGGGATCCCCTCATCAACCGCCTGCCTTCTTCCCCCTAATAAAGAATCTAGTCGTTCTCCTTTGGTGATTCAGTCTGAGTCAGTCCCACCCCAGCCCCCGGTATTTATTTTTATCGAGGTGTCCCCAGGGAAGCTGGCTTTCTGGAGCATCCCAGATCTTTCTCTGTTCCCGTTCCTTCTCTCCAGCACCCCCGGATTGTCAAGGAGGGGGCAGCCGTCACCCCAGAATGCCTGCGTCCGTGGAGTGCTTGCCCCGTACCCCGCCGTGCCATTCTTGGCTTCACAGTCTTTGAGCCTGGCTCTCGAAGGGTCCTGTCTGCCCCTCCAGCCGGCTCTGATGGCCTGAGCCAAGGTTCTTCCCAGAGAAAAGCTGGATGGGACGCATAGAAAGGAGGATGTGGGGAAGCCAGGAAGCGGGTTGACATGGATGGCCAGGAGATGGCTGCCCACATTGTCTACACTCTGTTTCCTGGAAGTAGAAGGCATTGGCCTGCCCTAGCTAGTTCTCACCCTCCACTTTCTGGAGCCAGAAGTGTTATCTGAAGGTACAAGTGACCAGTTTCGGCTCTGTGTACCAGGGAGCTGCTAGGTCCAACAGAATAATAGCTTTGTGACATCGAAAATCAGGAGGAGGCTCCCCTGTGTCTCCCCCAGGAAAATGGCCTATGATATGCCCAGCGAGAAAATGAGATAGTGTACCGGAGCACGATTCCTCCACATGGGTCACATCTCATCACCTGAGCAGCTTGTTAAGATACAGATCTCCAAGCCGTGGCCCCAGCAGTTCAACCTCAGTAGATCTGGGGTGAGAACCCGAACATCTATATTATCAACTAGCAACCCAGGAAACCAATGACCAAACACCAGGAACCAGGCGTAGTTGGGAGAGCACTGTGCCAGGAGCCAAAGACCTGGCTAGAGCCCCAGTTCTGTCAACTTACTAGCTGTGTTCTTTGACCCTGAACTCAAAGAGCTTCTCATCTGTTCAGTGGGACCAGTCCCTTTCCGGCCTGCCTACATCTCAGTGCTGGGACATGAGCGTGAGATGCCGAATAATGGGAATCTGCCAAGCGCAAGAGATTATTGTTGTGGTTATTGTTGGTACTCCGTCCAAGACAGACCCTGCCTATCAACTCAGCAAGAGGGCTGGGAGTCTTGGAGGCTGGGTGACACCCGGGGAAGCTTCTGGGCTGGAGGGTCATAACCCACTGCCATGTCTCCCCATCCCTGCAGGCTGAATGGCTCTCTCCCCAAGGGCGTGGAGGCCCAGAACCGAACCCTCTTCTTCAGGGGGCCTATCAACTACAGCCTGGCAGGGACCTACGTGTGTGAGGCCACCAACCCCATCGGCACCCGCTCGGGCCAGGTGGAGGTCAATATCACAGGTAGGAAGCTGTCCCCTGTCCTGCCTCTCCCCACCCACTGCTCTGCCTTTGGGGCTAGGTCACTGCAGGAAGTTTCCGTCTCCCCTTCCTCTGGTTCTCTCCTGAGCTCTGGCCACTGGCCTTGCTTTGCTTTTCTCTTTCCTCTGTTGAGGCTGTGTGTGAAACAGGGTGACCCCCGATCGGAGAGGGATCAGAGAGAGGTTCCAGCAGAGAGGAAGTGGGTGCTGTTGCGGGGGGGGGAACGGTGGGGGGACAGGTGTTAGAGCCTGCCCAGGTCCTGTGATGCCGGCTTGGTGGGGCTGGGCTTGGAGGTGGAGCTCATTTGCTCCTGCAGTTCAGGAAACCCACACAGACAGGCTGGAGGGTGAGGCTGTCCTCAAGCAGGGACACTGGAGGAAATACAAGGAGACAGCCCAGAGCCATGGTGGTTGTGTGCCCTGAATTGCTGTCTTCCCTGCATTTTTCTCTGTGTCGGTGCAGATGAAGAGATTCGGCCGCCTGACCCTCTCAGGGCAAAGGGAGCAAAGAGCTAGGATGTCCTGGGGGAGCCTTCATGTGGGCCATGAAGGGAGCATGGGTCTTAATGTCAGACAGCAGGGACGTGGACAAGTGCTCCTCGGAAAATGGGCATAATTCGAGGTGCCTTGAAAGCTTCTTGTCGGAATGTACATAATGTGGGCCAAGGACCTAGCGCAGACCAGCCTGTCAATAAATGGCCCCTGCTCTATGATCATTATCTTGGCCCCTGTCATTATCATTATTAATGGGAGGATCAAAACAAGCCAAGAGAGAGGTAAACTTGCCATCACAGCTTCACAGCCAGAAGAGGGAGTGTCTTTAACATTGTGGCTGAGGTAGTTGCAGGAAAAGAAAGTGACAGAAAGAAACACCTGGGACGGGCAGGGGTGTCATGCGGCTGGGGGGATGGACAGGAAGTGACCTCAGGGAGATGCTGGGCCGGGCTCCGGAGCTGGGAAGTTGGGCAGTGGTTGCTGGACTCCAGGCACAGGACTTGGGCAAGCCCTACAGACACATCGGCTCCGGGCCCGCGTCCCAGAAGTAGGAGACCTCATGTGCGGGTCCATCCGAGGCACAGCGGCAAAAGGAGCTGTCCAGGGTGTGCACCTACCTGTGCAGTCACACTCCCACCAGGGGGAGGTGGAGTCACTTGTCGATTGCTGTCTTCTTCAACTCCCTGCCCGTGGCGCTCACACTGGTCAACTCCCTGCCCGTGAACCAGAAGTAGTAGAAGCGTCCGAGGTGGAGCCTGGGAAAAGCTGCGGCAGCCCGTCCTCCAGGCTAGGGTTGGGGGCGGTGGGGAGGGGGAGGGCCAGAAGCACAGACTTCTCCCCTCCTGGAGAGAATTTGGGCAAAGCTCAGTAAGAGCCTCATGGGTACCCAAGCTCTGGCCGTGGGGCCATGGGACAGACAGGGATGAGGAGTATTCATAAGGGAGCATAACCACGACACAGGGAGGCGTGTCATACGGGGGCCATGTCAGACTTGGCCTAAGTGTGGTCACGTAGCGGTTCTTCCTGGCTGTGTCGCTTTCACGTCTCAGAGTCTCAGCTTCCCAGTCTGTATGACAGAGATCATATATTTATCTCAGGCCAGATGCATACTCCGCTGGCTGGAGACACTGCTGACTGGGAAGTCAGGGGAGGGGGCCAAGAAACAGGAGCAGTGATCTCCCGTGATCCTACCCCTGGCATGAGTGGACCAGCCAGAGGCCCTTCTAGGCTAATGGGGCCAGGTGGCGCTACCCAGCTAAGTCGGGGCCTCCCTTCTCCCAAAGCTCGAGAGGAGGCAGGATGACTGTGAATGCACGCTGCTCATCAGGGACTCAATGGCATCCAGGAGCAAGGAGGAAGGGAAGGGGGCACTTCCCAGGCCCAGGCTAAAGAAAAGAGAGGAAAGGGAGGACGCGAAGCCAGCCGTGGAGGCGGGCCGTCTCCTTGGGGCTGATGGCAGCAGTGGGATGCCCTGCGTGGGATCTGTGGTCAGGCCTAGCTGGCCTGTGGGCAGGCGGGCCAAGCTGCCCAGGGCTCCAGCTGGAAGACGCATGCGACATAGCCTCCCGTGCTCCCCGGAGGCACAGAGAGAGACAGGGCTGGTAAGCAAAGTCACACGCAGGTGACTTGCATGAGGACACTCTTGTTGACAGCCCAGTTAGGCAGAGGCCAGGGACGCGTGGTGCCCACTGAATCACTGATGGGCCCGGGAGCCGTTTAGCCGGCCCTCCCGAGGGAGGACCTCTCGGGCCCGCAAGACAGCTCAGCCGGGAAGCCTGAGCCTTTTCACAGCCATGTGTTCTGGTGCTCACAGCCAATCTCCGAGCAGCCGCTGACACCACCGGCCCTTGTCCCACATCAGCTGGTGCCTATCACGTTCTCTGGGGGCCCACTGTAGGGGCACAGCCATGCCCTGTGCTCCAAGCCCCACTGGTCAGGAGGGAATGCATCAGCGAGACGGATAAGTGGAAATTTAATTTTTCATTCTGGCCATCCGTTCGGGTAATAGCTTTGCCCTGGGCGCATCTGGAGAGGAAAATGAAGAGAAGCCGGGGCAGGGGTGGGAGGAGGCGGGCCGCAGGGTGTGTGCCAGAGACACGTGCGTGTGCAGGGCACGCGTGTGCGGGGCACTTCACCTGCACAGGCTTCTCAGGGCCCCGGACCCTGGAGAAGGTGGCATTTGAGTTGTTCCTACAAGGATGAGTGGACAGTGATGGAGGGTGGGGGTCCCCAGGCAGGGGAAGCTTGTGGGAGGAGAATGGTGGGAGCACTGGAAGGAGTGGGGCTTTCTCTGTGTCGCCAAAGGGGAGCCTCTCAAGGGTTCTCAGCAGAGAGGCAGGTGGTTTAGACCAAGCGTTTGGGAGGGGCTGTACAGTGAGGATGTCCCTAGTGGGAAGCAACAGGCCTCGGCTGTGGTCATGAGGACGAAGAGACAGACTCCCCAGAATTGGCGTGGACGTGTCCATGGGGCCCGGGGCCCTCACACAGGCCCATTTTTGAGATCTGAGTACTGAGAGCAATTTCATGGGGTTAGCCCAACAGTCACAAAACAACCCAGTGAGCTTCCTTTCCTTCCCTTCTCCCTCCAGGGGTAATGTGAAAGGCGGGGATGGGCGCTCAGGGTACGGCCTTGACCAGATGAAAAAGGCCAAATGGGGCAGCATCTATCCCTGGGACGGGGGCTGTTGGGAAAAGAGTATCCAGGCTGCTCTAGAAGCAGAGCAGGGAGGCCACTGTGGTGCAAGCGTCTGGCCCAGTTCCCATTTCCGGGAAGCCCCAGGTTCATCCACTGGGGACAACCACTTGAAGGTGAAGGTAACAGGGCTCCTCCCTCTTAGACCGGGTGTTCCTGTGATCGCGTGTTGGTGGGGCTTCGGGGTCCTTTTGGGACGGAGGGCGCATGCCTCTGAGCGTGTAAACGCAAGCAGACGAGCGCCTATGTGCAGGCCGAGTGGGCACACGGGAACCCTGGCTGTGCCATGGGCAAACGTGCCTTTCTGCGGGCGGGCAGATGGCAGGGTGTGTCGGGGAGCCCCTGAACAGACAGCTGTGTCTGCGCCCCTGGGAGGATTCGGTCCTGCTCCGGCATGACGAGGCCCTGCCCCGTGGCCTACACAGCTGCTGCAGCTGTCTGACCCCGGGCCTTCCCACTCTCCCTGCGGCCCCTGCACTGCACACTGGGAGCTGTAGTTCCAGCAGCTTCCCGGCCTCATCCCGTGATGCTAGAGCATTTCCCGCCTGCCTGAGGAAGCACCAGGCGTTGGTTCTAGAAGCAAGCCCAAACATCCTCTTTGACGCTAAAACTCCTCCAGATCCCAGAACCAGACTATAAACCCTAACCTGCCCTCCACCTCAGATCCATCCAAAGCCCCTGTACCAGCCCACCCGTCCCAGTCAGGAAACCTTGGCCCCAAAGGAATGCAGAGCTCCCACTGCCCCCAGGGTCCCGGCCAGCCTGCCATCCCAGAGTGGAGGCTGCAGTCCTTCAGGAAAGGGGGCTGAGCTGCCCGCTTTGTAAGACAATGTGAGGGAGGCCCGTGAGACCCCACCACCCAGCTCTTCTCTCCCCGGCCAGCAGAGGCCCTTGAGGCTCTGCTTCTGGTGCCCCAGGAACTACTAGCTGACCATGACAGCTGGAAGGACGGAGGGGGCGGGCGGGTGCTTCATTCCACACCAAGCAGCCGCCTCTCCTTGCAGATGAATGAGGTCCCCATATGGCATCTTCACACGGAAGTCTGCAATGCTGGACAGTCATCTCAGCCATTTGTCTACCTCTAGGCAGACCTGGCCCTAAAGCAGATAACCAGGGTTCCCTTTGGTCCCAAAAGAACCCCAGGGAAGGGTAAACTCCCTTAGGACTCGGGGAAGAAAAGTGAAACAGAAGGACCTAGAGGGGGACCCAGAGGCTCAGCTCTAAGACAAGCTTTGCCTTGACACAATTCATTCAACAGATGTTCTTGAACTCCGGCCACATGCCAGGCAGTGGCCTGTCCCTGTCCCTCTGGAGTCTATGTTTTAGCACAGAAGGAGGACAGCAAACAGATAGAATACATTTGAAAAATTACGTAGTCATTTTGAAGGTGACTTGGAGAAAAGAGCAAGGTCAAGGGGTCCCAAGTACAGGGGTGGGGTTTGTGAGCTGTGGTTTTAAACAGGGCAGTCAGGGGAGGCGTTGGTGAGAAGGTGATGTCAATGAGAAGTTTGATCCAGGCCCTGAAGGAGGTGAAGGAGTAACCTGAGACATGGGAGCAGAGTCTTCCGGGGTGGAGAGCAGCCAGTGCAAAGGCCCTGAGGAAGTTTGGAGCAGAGTGAGCCAGGAGGAAAGCAAGAGATGGAATCAGAGGTGGAGAGCAGAGGCACAGGTCGTGTAGAGCATTTGAAGTTCTTCAGACTTAACTGGATCTCTGTGGCTCCTGATTCAAGATCATCTATAGAGGCAAAAGGTAGAATCGGGGAAGCCGGTTAGGCAATTACTACAATAATCCAGGTGACCGATGACGGTAGCATGGATTAGAGAGGTGGTGGTGGTGGGAAATGGTCAGATTCTAGATTTACTTTAAATTCAAACTTATACACTAATTTGGGACACAAGCCACGCCCATGAAACGGGTAGTAAGCTACCATACTGTGATCAGTGGGGTCCAAAAAATTCAATCTATTCAAATAAAACATAGGAGAGCTTTATTTTCATTGGGTCTCTGCTGGTGCAAAAAGCATAAGAATAAATATAATGGAACTTCTACTGCACACAACTGTAACACATTGAATGGAAGCAGTCCCAAATTATCATGAGTCCGCCATTTCCCCAGCTCTTCTCGCTCCTTCGGGAGAGAACTTTAGCCATTTGAAAACTGGTGGAAGGACCAGAGCCAATTGTGGTAGATCCTGATTTGCATTTACTACAGGGTGTTTCATCAGAGGCTTTACCATCATAGATCAGTATATGACAAATGGAGTGGAATTGGGCATTGTTTCTACTAGAATGAGATGTGTAGACCATTAATACATAAAAGGGAACAGGGAAGTGTGAGCTGGAAGTGTGAGTTCAAAAGGGAACAGGGAAGTGTGAGCTGGAGAAGGCCAGGCTGCACAAAGACAGGACTGAAGAACAGAAATGGGCACGAGGGGATGAGGAAGGGCATTCCTGGCAGAGTGAACAGCATGAGCAAAGGCTTGAAGGAAAGAATCAACTTGGACAGCAAGGATGGTGAGTTAGCCAAGGCCAAGATCAAGTGGCATGATGAAAGCTCTGAAGCCCAGACTGGCGTGGTCCGGCAGGCAGTGGGAGGGACGTTATTGCTAGTCTTTGAGAAAGGGAGTGGCAGTGTGTACGCAATGGAAATTAACCTGGTGACTGTGGATGGTGACTGAAAGAGAACAGAGACCAAATGAAGGTGGGAGATTCAGGAATCACCAGTAAAACCTGGCATGAAGTGGTAAGAAATTGAATAGGAGAAGTCAACAAGATTTGATGGAAAGACTTGAAAGGAAACGGAGTTCCCTCCATTTGGATACCTTTCTTATTCTCTTGGCCACTCCAAGTCCTTGCCATCCTTCAAGGCTTGGCTTAAGTCTTTCTGAGAAACATTTTCTAACTCCAGGCCACAGTGCTCTCTTTCCCCTGCATTCCTGAGGCACTTCTCTGCCACTGTCCTTGATTGTCTGCGGGCGGCTTCATCCCTAAGGGTGTCATTTCGTTCCCCAGATAGGCTGTGAGTTTTTTGTATCCTGTGACTAGCAAAATAGATGTTCCATAGAGGATTGTTGATTGGATAGGTGGATGGATGAATGGATTGGTAGATGGGTACATGGGTGGATAGGTGGATGGATGGACAAATGGGTAGATGGGTGGGGGGATGGGTGGATGTATGGATGGATGGATGGATGGATGGGTGGATGGATGGATGGATGGATCAGTGGATGGTTGGGTAGATGGATGGGTGGATGGATAGATGGGTGGGTGGGTGGATGGATGGATGGATGGATGGATAGATGAGTGAGTGGATGGATGGATAGATGGATGGATAAGTGGACAGGTGGGTGGGTGGGTGGATGGATAGATGGATGGACAGATTAGTGGATGGGTGGGTATATGGGTGAAGCAATGAGGCAGTTGTACAGAGGAGAGAGCACTCAGATATGGGGTGAGAACTGAAGAGGGAGCAGACGGGTAGAAAGTATGGAAGAGGCCAGGTTCCTATTAGCTGCCTTTTGGGTGTGCCTTGTGGAGGCAGCTCCCACTTCCTGGGGAGCAGGTGTGCAGCCCTTTTAAAGGCAGTAAACAGACCTGGTGAAGCAGGAGAAGCTTGAGGTTCCACGGAAACCGTTCTGGAAGTGAGCGGTGAGGACAAATATTCAATAAATATTTATTGGGCAGCCACTCGGTGACCTACACTGAGGACACAGTGGTGACAAGTGGTTGTGTTTCTCTGCCAACTCCTGCATGTGGAGAGGCCGGGAACGGGAGCATCTGGGTGGTCCCTGCTCAGCCATGTGACCGCAGGCAAATCGCCTCCCCTTGTCGGGGCCCCCGTGATTTCATCAGCCCTTCCAGCCTGGACTCCCGGAAGTCCTTTCCTCTTCTCTTCTAGAGCCTCTGCCCTGCTCTTGCCTGCTGCTGCCAGCACCCCACCCACTCACACACATGGCCGGAGTGGGCCGGCTTTACCTCTGGGAGGAGGGAGTGGGCCCATAGGAGGAGCAGGATTCCCTTGGAATGAGTGATGCTCAATCAGGGAGTGAGCTGGCAGAAACCGATTCCCAGGGACCGGAACAAATGCCCAAACCATACACCTTTACCCTGGCCTAAAGAGAGGAGGGCCTAGAATAGCCCAGCAGCCCTCCCAGGTTCCCTGGAAAACCTGCCCACCTGTGCCTCCTGACCGGGGCCAACCGTGGTCTCCGGTGCCACCCTGTGGTGGTGCTGGGAACCGCCTCCCTCAGTCTCCCCTCCGGGCAGCATTGACCACAGCGCGGGCAGTCACCCGCCCAGCCTTCCCTCCCTCCCACCTACTTCCTTTCCCTCCCACCTACTTCCTTTCCCTCTTTTCCACCTTTCCTGCTTTCTTGTTTCCACCCTGTCCTCAGCGCGCACATGTTCGTACACATACGTTCATCGCATCAGCACAGGTATGCAGGCTCGCCGTGACGGGCCAGGGTGTTCCCCGGGCACGCGCTCCCTGGTGACGCCACTCGTCATCGTGGCCGTGAACTCACGTGCGCTCGTGCCCCCTCTCTGCACAGCCATGCTGAGTGTCTTTTGCTCACAGCCCAGGCTGGCAGCACCCCTGGCACCCACCTTGCCCTTCAGGGCCAGACCGCAGCCGAGAGCCCCAGCCCTGGTTTCTGGCACTCACAGGGCATCTATGGGGCCAGCCTGGGAACCCGCCCTCTTCCCTGTGCCCTGGGAGCAGGTGAAATCAGGCGTGGGGTACCCAGTGAGCAGCAGGCGTCGGACACTTTTGGGGACGTTTGCACAGCGTTTCCGTGCAAGAGAACCAATGTCAATCACTGGCTGGTGGCCACAGGCAAGCTATTTAACCTAAGACTTGTTGCCTGGTGCATTGGCTAGAAATTAACAGCATACTTGTTTCTCAAGGTGCCGTGATGGCGACTGGCAGCTAGGGGACACTGGGTCCACGGTGGGCTCCACTAATGGGGGTGATCCAGGCTGGCACCACAGCCAAGGAGAAAGCCAGCATGGAGCCTCCGGGGCTCCGGGACTCTCTGCCTCGTCGCCCGCTTCAGCCACAATACTGCGGCGCACTGGAGGGCTGGGGCACCGAGGGGCCTGTGGAACTGGAGCCGCCCTTGGGCCTTGGGCCCACTTCCTGGCCTTTCCATCCCCTGCCTCACTCCCTCCCTGCCATCCCTGCTGACGCCCCCACCCCCAGGAGCAGTCACTGACACTGTCCCCCTCCGTGTCTTTTCCTCACCCAGAATTCCCCTACACCCCGTCTCCTCCCGAGCACGGGCGGCGCGCCGGGCCGGTGCCCACAGCCATCATTGGGGGCGTGGCGGGGAGCATCCTGCTGGTGGTGATTGTGGTCGGCGGGATCGTGGTCGCCCTGCGCCGGCGCAGGCACACCTTCAAGGGCGACTACAGCACCAAGAAACACGTGTATGGCAACGGCTACAGCAAGGCGGGCATCCCCCAGCACCACCCGCCCATGGCCCAGAACCTGCAGTACCCTGATGACTCGGACGATGAGAAGAAGGCCGGCCCCCTGGGCGGGAGCAGCTACGAGGAAGAAGAGGAGGAGGAGGGCAGCGGAGGGGGCGAGCGCAAGGTGGGCGGCCCCCACCCCAAATACGACGAGGACGCCAAGCGGCCCTACTTCACGGTGGATGAGGCAGAGGCCCGTCAGGACAGCTACGGGGACCGGACTCTGGGCTACCAGTATGACCCTGAGCAGCTGGACTTGGCCGAGAACATGGTTTCTCAGAACGACGGGTCTTTCATTTCCAAGAAGGAGTGGTACGTGTAGCCTCCCTCTCCGGAGCCTCTGTCGGCTCCCCTTTCTCCCCGGCCCCCACCCGCACGCCCCCTGCCCTCCCCCACTCACCCACTCCTCCAGGAGCTCGACAGAGACTCGGCCGGCTGCCCAAAGCCAGCCCCACACTGCCGGGGAGCTGGGAGCCCAGGGCAGACACGACCTGGCTTTGTTTTGATTTCCTCCCTGTCCCCCGCCCTCCCCGTGGTGTTGTGTTCACTGTGGCTTTGGTGTCGCTGTACCTTCCCTCCCCTGACCACCGCCACCACCCGCCCCCCCCCCTCCCCCCACCGCCTGCCCTCTCTGTGGGGAGCCCTGTTCTCGTCTTGTGTACCTGGGCGTCCCTCCAGGGTTTGGGGAGCCAGCCCTCCCCGGCCCCCCGACACTGGAATTTGTGTTCTTTCCACTGGGGGTGGAGGGCTGAGGGGCTCCGAGAGGAAAAGCCCCAAGCCACCCCCGGATGCCGCTCTATTTCTCCCAGGGAGGGGGAGCCCACACCCCTTGCCACGAGCAGCCAGGAGCTAGGGACCCCGCTCTAGACAGTCGTTGCACCCAGGAGACAGGGAGAGGCTTCTCCAAAGCACCCAGGGTTGTCTTGTTTGTTAAGCGAATCGAATCGAGGTCCCTACCGGGGGGGCCTTGGGCAGTATGTTCTCCTGGTGAAGTTGGTTTTACACTTTTTGTCCTCACTGGCCAGCAGAGAGTGAAGTTGGCCCAGCTCTGGTGTGTCTGTCCTCTTGACCCCTATCTACTCCCCACATAGTGGGACTTTAGGTGGCCCACACTTCCCGTACGCCTCCACCAACGCATACACGCACCCACATGCACACTCACCACTCGTGTCTGCCCCTCGTTCCCCTGGGGTCACAGGCCCTCCCCGGCTGGACACTGCCCGAGGCCCACCCCTCCCTGCCCCACCTCTTCCCTCCCAGCTGAGGATGGGGACAGCCTTCGGAAGCCTCCAGGGACTGCAGAGACCAGGGCCCCCTGGAGCCTCCACCCTAGGAGCTCAGGCTGGCCCTAAATTGCTTCTTTCAGCATGGGAGTTTCTCAGATTTCTCCCTTCTCTATCACGTGCTAGCGACTCTGTCTGGATTCTCCTGGGGAGTCAGGGCAGGGGGTCCCTAGGCTGTCTGGGAGTCACAGGTGACTGAGCACCACCATGGAGGGCACGGGGAAGGGAGTCCACCGGGTAGAAGCTTTGCAGACACAGATGCTGAAGAGCGTAGGTGGTGGCTCACCCGCCAAGGCCAGTGCAGATGTTCTGGGCTTGCCAGAAAGTGCAAGGGGCATGGGGGAGCCAGGAATCCCAATTCTGCAGCTCCTGCTCCCTGCTCTCCACTCCCCGCTCATTTGTCCCTGGTCTCCGTTCTGGGATGGGGCGGGAGGGACCTTGGGGAAGCTTTCCCTTTGAGTTACAGATTCCCTCCTTGAATGGGGCTCCGGGGCCCATCCGTCACCCAAGACGAGGGTTTCCTGTCTGTACAGTGGGGGACAGGCCCCTCCCAGCTCTCTCAGTTCCCCCAGCTCAAAGTGCCTCAGTTCCTTCATCTGCCCACCCCGGTCCCCCCCGGGCACTCTAGATAGGAAAGACCCTGGGATGGGAGAGCAGGCTCATGCCTGCCCATTAGGGTTCCGGTTAACCCAGGCCATCAGGGGCTCTGTGGGATGGCAAGTGTTGCGGGGGGAGGGAAGCAGACCACTCTGTGCCCCACGGGCACTGACCTCCCCTGCCATGGGCTTCCCAAGGGAGCCCCAGGCCCCAGCCCTCTCCCTCCCCTCCCCTCCCTGGTGCTGCTATTAACACCCCCCCCCCCACCAGCCCCGTCTCTGCCCTGGTGACCCTGGGCCCACCAGCTGGGCCACCCTCACCCGGCCCCCACTGCCCCAGCCCTGGCTGCCCAGTAGCCACGTAGCAGAAGTCTGAAGCCATGCCAGCCCTGGGGCAGCTCTCCCCTCTTGGCATTGGGTGGAGATGGGGGAGAAAATTCTGGGGTCTTTCAAGCCACAGGGCAGAGAGGGGTGGAGGAGCCGGGCTGCCTCTCCCAGCAGTATTAGTGTCGCCCCAGGGCAGAGGACCTTTTCCATATTACATCACTGCCCCATTCCACCTCACAGCACTCTGGCCCCTCTGCTTGGTCTCCTGCCCCACCCCCCACCCCCTGGCAGGAGGAAATCCCAGGGGCCTCCCTGATAGAGGCATTCTCTGACCCCTTGAAACCATGAAACCGAAAGTCTCCCTCCTGCCACCCCCTATTCCTCATTATGTGATGTGCTTAGGAGGGCCCCTGGGCCCAGCCAAAGCCCTGAGTCCCCGTTAAGACACCTCCATGCCCTCCCCCCAAGCAAAGCACAAAGTATGGGATCCATGCCACACGCATGGGCCGCGTGGGAGGCTCCTGCCTACCTTGTCCAGCAGCAGCACACCCGGCAGGGCGGTCGCTCCTCAGGGGCCCAGGGTAGACCGGGGGCAGGCAGGGGTCGGCGCTCGGGCCTGGGGAGATGGGGCTTTCTGCGCCCCGAGTTTGCGGGAAGGTGGGCACTGCCGCCGGGCCCACAGACACAACCAGCGGGCAAAGGGGAGGTCTGGCCCGACAGAGAGATGAGGATCTTTTGCTTCTCCTTTGTGCCCCCAGCATGAGCTGAGCCTTCTGCCTTTGCTGGAGATGAAATAAACTTGGTATTCATTGTGCCAAGGCCTCCCCCCGTTGTCACCCTGCCTCTTGTTACCCTCCTTCTTCTTGCCCCCGACCCTGCTCCCCTGCTCCCCCTATTTCTTTAAGATTTTGATATTGTTCTAACGTGTAAGCGAACCATCCCGAGTCCCCTTTCATCAGAAGGAGCCGAAAAGCAGCAGCAGGGAATCGGTGACCACGAGCAGGCAAGACGACCACAAGCGTCTGCGCGCACACGGGGCACGCTCCCCTCCGACAGGTGCACACGCACAGACGCGCAGACACGGCAGAGGAACGGGCTGGTCCTGCCGAAAGCCCCGCAGCAGAGACGTGATTTCCCAGTGCTTAGGCCGTAAGAGAGACTCACGGGGGCCTCGTTTCCCGGGCGTACACCCCCCCCCATCAGCCCCCTCCATGTGCCCAAGTCACTGGTGCAATAATTTTTCTGCCACCCTCCAAGCAGAGGAATCGGGAACTGTGTTAGGTGGATGTGGGTGACCCGCCTGGGAGGACAGGGGCCCAGACAGAGACCTCTGAAGCCACCAGGAGCCCTCTCCTGCTAAGGAGCACGTGGGCCCCTCCCAGGCCACAAAGAGACCTGCTGTGGCTACGGGTGCCGTGAGGGGCTCCCGAGGCCTTGCCTCTGCTGCTGCTGCTGCTGCCCCGACCGTAAGGCCCAGCCGAGCCCCCTGCCTGCCGGTGCTGTTCTTCTAACTCCTGCTGTGAGGAACGGGATTCTTGGCCGGAAAAAAGAAAAAAAAAAAAACGGTTTTCTCTTTTTGTACAAATGGAAGCAAAATCCAGGAGAAGCTGCCACCCCTCACCTCCGAGTGCGATGCGCCACCTTGGCATCAGTTTCTTCGTCACCGTGTTCGTCTTTGGTCCCGGGACGACCCAGCAGATTCTCCTGGTTCTGACCCAGGGGGTGTTTGCATCACCCCCTTTTACTTGTATAAAAAAAAAAAAAATGATGAGTTGAAAAATGTACTGAGGGAAAAAAAAAATGTACTTTTTTATAAATAAAGTGTTTAAAACAACGTTGGTTGCCTGTGTCGCTCGTCGCCCTGCGGTGGCCGTGCTGGGGGCACGGGGACAGGGGAGAGCTAGAGATGGGCCAGCACGGTAGTGAAGGCGAGGGAGCCTCTGGCCGGTGCCCAGGTCCCGTGGTTCTGGGACAGTGACACCGACCCCTGCAGAAGCCTGCCTCCCGGGGTGGGGGGCGGTCAGGGTCCTGCCTGAAATGTCACCCCAGCTCCCAGGCTCTGCCAGGAAGTAGCACCCACACCCGGGAAGACTGGTGGGCAGCAGAGGCGGGAAGGCTGGGCCTCTACGGGCACAGGCAGGGAGGAGGCAGGGCCCTCCCTGGGCTGGCCGGAGTCCCCACCTTCCTGAGTTTAGGCCTCTGCTGCCCTCCAGCAGCCGCGCACAGCTCAGGCTTCTTCCCTTCCCCCTTCTCGCCCACTCCCTGCTGCCCTGCTCCTCCCTGCCAGTTCGCCTCCTGTGGTCTTTTGGAGAGGAAAGCCAACAGTTATCGCCTGCCGTGTCAGACAGAGAAGAGACGGGGAGCTTTATCTTCTGTCCCCTGCCAGGTCTCTCCAAGGGACCCAGCCCTTCATCTCCAGGGGTGGGGGGAGCGGGGCTGGGTGCAGGGAGGGTGTCCTCATTCCTTGCTTACCTCCCCTCCCCGTTCCACCACCATCTGCTTCCCATCTCCAGGGCTGGAATGCAGGACAAATCGATCCTAGGTGGGAGTGGCAGGGGCTTCACCTCCCCCAGTCACCCCCCGTAGCCTCTCTTCCCTGAAATCCACACCATACACCTCTGAGAAAAGGGGGTAGGGATGCTGAGAGCCAAGGTGGCCACTTAGCGGAAAGCCCTCCTGCACATGTGGGGGGAAGCCCCGTCCTCCTTTCCTAGGATCGGGGTGGGGAGGCCAGGGCCAGAAGGAATCAGGCGGAATCGGGCCGGGAGAAGCAGCCGGCAGCTGTTGGCAGCTGGCTGGGCCCCTCACTGGAAGGCCAAACCCAGCACCCTAGACTGTGTTTAGATGCGGATTCGCGAACGAGATGCAAAGTGGTTGTTTAAGTGGTCACTTCCTCAGTCTTCCAGGCTGTCCGTTCAAGTTAATTTTTAATTTGCGCAGGCAATAAATGCTTAATTACATTATTAATATATTGGAAGAGAGCAGTGGACAGAACGTCCTAATTGGCATTTAACTAGAGCGTTCCGGCAAATTAGCCAAGACTTTCTCCGGCATCGGAAGGAGGGCAAGCCAGTTAGTCCCAGGCACAGCCTCTCCTGGCGGGAGGAGCCCAATCTGGCCCCTTCCCCCAGGGTCCCGGGAGTCCAGGGAACACCTAGCTTTCTAGGTGCTAGCTGAGCTGGGTGCGGGAAGAACTTGGCTCGTTAGGGTCCTTCTGCCCCCACCTCAACCCTCGGCCCTGTCCCCGCATCCCCACCCTCAGCACAGCAGAGGACCAAACGCTGGGGACAGGGGTCCTGGGGTCCTGGGGACAGGACCTGTCCGGGTGGCTAAGGTCCCCCTGGGTGTGCCCACCATTGCCCTACCTCAGCTGTGGAACAGGACTAAGATAGCTGGGCACCCAGAGCTGCTTTCTGGATACCGTGGAGGCCTCTTTCCCTTCCTCTTTACCTTGACCACTCTGCTTGCCGACGGCTAAGAGAATGAACTTGAAGAACTTGAGGGTGGCATCCTTCACTCACGCGTGCATTCATTCGTTTGGCCACTCTGGGCCAGGCCCTGTGAGATACTGTGATAGTCCCACCCAGAGTCCCCGCTTTGAAAGAATTCAGAGGCTCTAGGGGTCCCAAATTCCAAAACAGCCAGTGCCTGCTGGCCACAGGTTGGAGCAGAGCTGTGTGCGAAGCCCTATGATAGCACAGAACGGGAATGGCTCATTTTGCTTGGGAAGGTCTGAAAGGTTTGATGGCAGATGTGACGATTTCCCCCTGGGCCTGAAGGATGTGCAGGAGTTCTCCGGACCAGAGGTGTGTTAAGAGCATCCCAGGCTAACTTGAGACTTTAGCATCTTATATCAGTTGTTCTAAAAGAGATCATTCAGTCCAACACACTTAGCACGGTGAGAACAGAAGCCTAGAGGAGGAAACTAAGGCTTGGCGACCAGACCAGCAGAGAGCACACGCTGAACATGCTCTGGGCTAGAACCAGAGCCAGGTGTTGAGAGCAGTGGGGGGTGGGGGGGGAGGAAGCCAGGGAAGGGGGTGGCACCCCCCTGACTGGAGAATGCTAGAGCTGACACCACTTTCGATTCACCCACGGAGCAGAGCGAACCCCCGCGGGTGATCAGCTGGGCTCGTGGGCGCCACATTTGGTGTGTTCAGTGGAAAAGACGGTACAATTCTGGCTCCAGTTCCCGTGTGCATTTTCTTCCACGCCACCAAGCAATAAACTCAATTCTGACACTATGGACCCGGAAGGAGCATCGGATCCCACAGGCCAGGGGCTCAGTCCCATAAGACTGACTGTCCCCGACTCCAACGCCAGGGTCAACTGCAGGATGCCACCTGTGCCTCTGACCGACTGGCTATAAATCAGAGAGGTTCCTTGGGTTCGGGTAATTTGCGAGAGTGGCCCACAGAACGTAGGAAGCCAGTTAACTCAGTAGATCACCTGTTTATTATAAACGGCTGTAACTCATGGAAGAGCCGCCTAGGGCAAGGTGCATGGGAAGGGGCTGGGAGCTTCTCTTCCCGCACCTGCGGGTGTTCACCAACCCGGAAAGCTCTCGAATCCCGTCCCTTTGGGTATTTATGGAGGCCTCGTTACACAGGCCTGATTGACTGACTTATCGGCCACTGGCAACTGAACTCAGTCTCCAGCCCCTCCCTTCTCCCTGGAGGTCAGAGGTGGGGCGGAAAGTTCCACACTTCTAATCACGTGGTTGGCTCCCCCGGCAGCCAGCCCCCATTCTTAGGTGTTTTCCAAACTTCATTAACTTAAACCCAGGTGTGGCTGAAAGGATTTCTTCTGAGCATCAAGACACCTTTTATGGCTCTTATCGCTTAGGAGATTCCAAGGGTTGTAGGAGCCTTGTGCCAGGAACCAGGACAAAGACCAAATGCGTGCTTCTTACTATAAATCACAGTATCACGGGTGATATCTGCCATGCTTTTGAAGAATGGGAGGTAGGTGGGTCAGGGGCAAGGCCTCCTGTGCAAGCTGGAGGGGAGCCCCGGCTCCTGGAGGCACCTCTGCCCTGCCCCCAGGGCCAGATGCTTTTGGGGAGCAATCCTTGGGCACCACCCTGGTACTGACTTCTGTGGCCCCCCAAGCCCTATTTTCTCCCCTGGTCTGCAGGCCTGATGGGAGAGCCAGGCCAATCCTCACTCTAGCTCCACACTCAACCTCCAAATGAGAAGCTGCAGGCCCTGCCCACTTCCCTCCCCTCCGCACACACACTCCACTGCCTGGGGCCTCATCCAAGCTGGCCCCTCCGGCCTGGTGCATCCAAGCTCATCTTGAACTCTGCTAGGAAGGGCACAGGAATCGCCTTGTTTGGCTCGAGAACCAGCTCCAGGGCACCATCCGCACACATCACTGGCTCCATCGGGCCAGGGAACAGACCCAAATCACTCGGGGGTTAAAAACACAAATATTCAGGCCCCACCCCAGAGGAAGAAGGTCAGAGCCTCTGGGGGGTTGGACCCAGACAGGTGTATTCTCAACAAGCTACCCAGGAGATTCTAATGGTGTGGAGGCAGAGGCCACCCCAGGTGTCAATCATGAGGAAGAAGCAGGTCCTGAGATAGGAGACTGGATCCAGGGGTGGCTAGGTGGGCGATGCGGTGGATAAGCACATAAGAGCTTGGGGTGCCAAATACGCTATTTATTGTCATGACAAGATCATCGCCATCATCATCACCTCTGAGACCTGGGACCCTGGGTGCTAGTGACTGTAGTGGAGGCCAGTACCTGGAGGCAAGTACAGAGCCAGGAGGGAGCCATACCTGTAGTCCTCATGAGGCAGGCTTTCTGGTTTCAGACCCTTCCTGGGCACCCGGTCTCTGGGCACATGCCGGAAGGCCAAGCGGGCTTCTGAGTTAAAAGCCCAGGCAGGAGGTCCAACAGGCCCTCCTTGAATGGAGATGCTTGCTCCACAGTGTGACCACCTTGGAAGCAGTGGGTGTGCTTTATGAAGGACAGTAACAGCCCCCTTGGATGAAGGGGGACACGCTGAGAGAGGCAGAGGGGAGGATGGCAGGCCTGTGCCCTGCAAGCCCTTTACTCCCGCTGCCTGAGGACTGGCCCCGAGGACCCCTGGAGGCCCTCTCTGAACAGGGTATACTATTCCCCAGGAAGCAGGCCTTTTGGGGGATGGCTGACCCAGAGCCCAGCAAGCTGGGGTCCCCTCAGCCTGAACTCCTCACACCCACTCTCCCCTCACTTAGTGCCCAGCTCCTTTCTGCTGTGCCATGCTCCCAGGATCCTCAGGCCTGAGAGCGCCTCCATGGCCAGCAAGAGTCAGCAAGTACTCGAACCATACGAGCTGCCTTGCCCAGAGGCTGGAAGCCCCTTGAAGGCTAGAATCAGGGCTTATTCATCCGCAGCACCTAGCCCGGGGCAGGCACACAGTGAGTGCTCAATAAAGGTTGAACACAACTAAATGTTATCAAAGCGAGAGTCAAAAAGACCTTGTAGGTGGAATGACCCAACCTCCCTTAAGGCAGGGTTTTGCTTCAAGCATCCCAGGTACCTCTGGGGACGGGCAGCTCACTACCTCTCGAATTAAGCCCCACCATCATATGGCAACTCCTCTACTCAGACAAAATTCCCCTCCACTAAGTTTTACCCACTGGTCCAAGTATTTCCCTGAGAAGCTGGCCTGGCCTTCTTAGGACAGTCCTTCAAATATTTGGAGATGGTTAGTCCTGGCCAAACTTCTTCCCCACGTGTTTATCCCTCTGCTCGAAACATCAGGCCACTTAGCAACACATCTGTTAGGAGCCTGGACTTGAGTCAGGCAAACCTGGGTTCAAGTCTTGGCTCAGGTGACCA